CACCACCTTCCCCCCCCAGCCCCCCCTCTTTCCCCCTCCCCCAAACAAAAATCACCCCCAACCACCCAACTTTTGTTTTCTGCGCAACCGCCCCCACGACATCCCCTGCCTTCGCACAACCCCATGGCACATGCGCGCACTTTTTTTGACGAGCACTTGCGTCTCAAAACACTTTGAGCACGTTTGAGCGCGGTAGGGAGGTCCTTAAGCGCGTGCTTAAGTGTGCACGCTCCTGCTCACACATGCTCAAACGGTTTCATAGACCGGATCTACGGTTGATGGAGACACCAGCAGGGGACCTTCGACATAGGAAGTTCAACACTGACCCTCCACTTCGACAAGCCACTGATTGCTGATAAACCACAACACGTCCAAGTTGATGCAGTACATGAAGTCTCTTCCAACATCATTCCGTTCCAACCGCTCATTCAAAGCAAGGAGGAACTTCTTCATTCCAGCTCTCCAGCGTCGACCGGATCGGAGTCCATACTCCTCAACCAATGTGCTGCTCCATTCATGACCAGCCTCATATCCGCCTTCAATATCGGGAGTCGAGCGTTTCTGCCTCCAACTTCCATCGTTCATTCGCTCGCTCCACCATTCCCTGCAAGACGACGACGTCACTTGTGGGACGATGGATGGAGTTGGGTTGTTTTAGGAGGTGTGCAGGCCTGGGGACCACCTTCTTGACTCCCTTCCGTGCGATCTGGCATCATCTACGACCTATCAACTTCCTATTTTATCGGGAAGAGACCTGTGTAGCAGCATGCCAGCAACTACACATTCGGTTGGACACTAAGTGGACGACATTGGTTCACACAGTGGCTATCCTCGGTCGGCATCAACCGAGCCAACAAAATTACAATTAGGAACTGGTTTTGGGACCTTGGCATTTGGGACTTCCCATCACAACTATAGACCTGCTACACAAATTGTCAATCGACGTACGACAGGCATCCAACAACATCAGCGGTTATTGTGGCTGGATGTGACACTCACCAAGGCTAAAGCACGGCCTAGCTGGTCTGGCCGGTCCCACTACCCTGCCCTGCAACATTACAAGTCACAGGTGCTTGATCGGCCGCGATAGCTTGTGAGCCTTCTCGAGCTGCACCCTCCAGACCCTGACCGCTCACAGCATTGATTGCAAATGCAAACCTGCGTGCACACCACACAAGGGTCAGCTCCTACAGAGGTCGAGTCCTTCTCCTCGCCTGGTTTTGATGAAGCGGCCCCACCCGCCCTTGATTTTCCCGCGGTGTGCGGGCCTGCTGCCCACCTTCTTGACTCACTTCTGTGCGATCTGGCATAATGTAGTACCTATGAATTTCCTATTTTATCTGGAAGAGACCTGTGTAGCCCTCACACGAAAGAGAACTCACCTCACATATGTACTGGTGAGCCAGGGTGAGTGATGTGCGGCATTGAATTCACCCCACCGTTCCTTGCATTGCATTAGCCCGGAATACCTTCTGTGTTCATGTTGTTCCCGGGTGAGAGAGTGTGGACAAGGCAGTCATGGCTGCACCTCTATCATCGCGACTCACTCACCCACCAGGGTGAGTGGCCGAGAGGTACCACCACACCTGGAGCGTTGCAGGCTTGGGAAACCGGTTTCGGGGTACGTACTTACCCCAAAATTCTATCTCGGGGTTTCGCCCCGACATGGATATCCGGGTGGGTGAGTTTTTGCAGCGGCACTACTCACCCCGATTCGCACAGGGAGCGAGTAGTGAAGCGAGGCCGATTTGCACAGGGAGTGCGTAGTGAAGCAAGGCCCCGAATGGGATATTACTTCCCGACGCACTCCTGTTCCATATCGAAAGCGTCTGTTTTGCGGTTCACTGTTCCACTGGATGCACTACTATTCCAGTGGGTCTGCTATTTGTTTTTCCGAGTGGGCAGATTCGCACAGGGACTGAGTAGCAAGGCTCCGAATGGGATATTACTGCTCCTGACGCACTCCTCTTCCATATCCAAAGCGTTTGTTTTGTGGTTCACTGTTCCACTGGATGTACTACTATTCCAATGGGTCTGCTGTTTGTTTTCTGTAGTTGCACGACCATGATTGTTTTGGCCACTCCAGAACAAGGGGGACGGATCGGCACGCGACTTCAGCGGCGCTCTTGTCGCCTGCGCTGCTCGTGTGGCTTGGGCTTATGCGTGACCTAATTTCACCATAGCTATCCTACCTTCTACCATGTGTGGAGAAGGTCATGTGGTAAAAGTTGACGACTCATCGTGAGACCTTCATACCACGGTGAAAACTTTACCTCTTGAGACCACCTCCCCCTTACCCGAGCCAATGTCCAGATCCAACCAGATCAACCAGCGTAGTGCTCACACTCGAGCACTCCGCTACAGGAGTCTACCTAGAACAGCATTTCCGGAGCGGCCTTAGTCATCAACGGCCATCGTGGGCGATATCATCATCACGACAGCTACGTCATCGGCTTCTGTCTCTACAACTGCAGCACTTTCCTCCCCCGAAGAGCTGGTGAGAGCCCTACTTATCCCGAAGATAATAGTTTTTTCCCCAGTCGATCGCATAACTCCGTCCTCTGGCGGTCGATTCGCTTTCTCTGTTATTTTTACTAATTCTTCTTTCCTCCGAATACAGAGTCATCATACCGGAATCCTATTTCCGGGACCCGTTCGCGACTTTTTGTTTTTTCCGTGCATAGTAAGTCGGCACCAGAAAGAATCTCGACCCATCCCGACCCGCACTATGACTTAATTCTCAGCTCCCCCCTTTTGCTCCGCAGGCCTCTCCCCCGCCTCTAACTTCGACCTCCGACCACATACATCACACCTCATCTCTCCTCGACTCCTTCCCCACCGACCCTTTCTGTCTTTTCTGTGTAAAGGAAACCGAGTCCCTTCCGTAACTCCGACCCGCCTGGCCTGCGTCGCGCTCCCCACTGCCTTTCTTCACACCCACTGCCCGGTCTCTTCCCCTTCCCCCGCTTATTCCTCCAAATAATCGTCCTTCAGATCTCCCTCCCATATCACCTTCAACGCCTCCGCCCCCAGCCCAGATCTTCGACTACATACATCTCATCTCGCCTCAACCCCTCCGCCTCAACCCGACCCTTCCCAAATCCCCTTCAACCCCTCCCCCCCTAGCCCGACCTCCAACCACATACACCTCACCTCATCTCTCCCCAACTCCTTCCCCACCGACCCTTTTTGTCTCTTCTGTGTAAAGGAAACCGAGTCTCTCCCGTAACTCCGACCCGCCTGGCCCGCGTAGCGCTCCCCACAACCTTTATCCACACCCACTGCCCGGTCTCCTCTCCTTCCTTTATTTCTCCAAATACCCGTCCTTTGGATCTTCCTCACATATCGCCTTCAACGCCTCCGCCCCTAGCCCAGTTCTTCGACTACATACATCTCACCTCGCCTCAACCCCTCCGCCTCAACCCGACTCTTCCCAAATCGCCTTCAACCCCACCCCCTCAAGCCCCGATCTTCGACCACATACACCACACCTAGCCCTCCCCATACCATTGTTAGTACACACCTCTCCCACCTTGCCCGCTCGAATCCCAGTTAACTCCCTTCCCTCGACACACCTCTTTGACTACATACATCTCACTTCGCCTTAACCCCTCCGCCTCAACCCGGCTCTTCCCAAATCGCCTTCAACCCCTCCCCCCCTAGCCCGACCTCCGACCACATGCACCACACCTCATCTCTCCTCGATTCCCTCCCCACCGATCCTTTCTGTCTTTTCTGTGTAAAGGAAACCGAATCCCTCCCGTAACTCTGACTCGCCTGGCCCACGTTGCGCTCCCCACTGCCTTTCTCCACACCCACTGCCCGTTTTCTTCTTCTTCCCATGATTATTCCTCCAAATACCCGTCACTCAGATCTTCCTCCCATATCGCCCTCAACGCCTCCGCCCCTAGCCCAGATCTTCGACTACATACATCTCACTTCGCCTCACCCCTCCGCCTCAACCGGACTCTTCCCAAATCGCCTCCAACCCCTTCCCCCCTAGCCCCAATCTTCAACCACATACNCTCTCCCTCTGTCTCTCTCACACACACACACACACACACACACAGAGGGGTACACACTGCACAGCACGTGCAAGGGGAAGGTACGGCAGTGGTCTTCTCTGCCTCTCCGCGAATCAGGGAGGCAGACGTACCGCGCGCCACGCACACATGCTCGTAGACTTGGACAGTGTGGAGCGCGTTCGTCTTTTCTCTCTTACACAGCCGCTAAACTTTGTCTGGGTGTGCTGCAGTCCGCTGACGTTCGACCACTTTCTCATCTTAGATCCCTTCCCGAGACCGAGGCGGGATACATAAATAGCGACCCATCCTACGACTGCATAGCATTGCGGAGACACCTATTCGTGATCGTGTCTCGGAGGCAACCATCCCGGCCTAAACACACTGTAACCTGAACACCAGAGGGTTGCGCTTCCGTCCTGCCTGTGACGAAGGGGATCCCTGTTGAAGGTGCGAGTCGCGAGAGAGAGAGAGAGAGAGAGAGAGGGAGGGAGAGAGGGGGAGAGAGGGGGAGAGAGAGAGAGAGAGAGAGAGAGAGAGAGAGAGAGAGGCTTGGAACGATCACTTGTACTGTCTGGTGAGTCCAGCCACGGTACATGTACTGCTAGTAGTGTGAGGGTAATGTATGAACTGAACTTAGTGAAGTGAAGAATTGCTTCGGAGGGGGCTCAGTAAAAGAGTGTTTATTAGGCAACTTGGAGTTACTGCGGTCATTCCGGTCATGTCGTGCCAGTAAGTCCCACTGCCTGTGAGCTTGTCATCATCTTCCAGCCTTCCAGGATCTGTTTGCACTCTCGTTCCTCGAACAGACGGAATCGTAGAGATTCGTAATACAAGGGAGGGGCTTCGCAAAGCGAGCTGGTCAAACAGACAGGGAGATCATTTCTTGTTTATTCTTCCTACGAATTTCGTTGAGTTCTGCATTCTCTCTTGGGGCTTGTCAGCAGTTCGACAACATTTAGGTTCGCGTAAGGGACTCCAACTTCTCCGAGAGCAATTGGTCTAGAGAGACACAGACAGGGCAGCGTAGTAGTGATTCGTAGAGCGTGCATACTCGTCTTGCCATCCTTAAGCTTGGTCGGCAATCATGAAGGTGGAGGAGCTAAGTGGGGTGGGCCCGGTGAATGCGGTCAAACTTCGCCAAGCAGCGGAGATCACGACGCCGTCGGAGCTGCTCGACAGATGTGCAACGATCCGCGGAAGGCGGGACATCAAGGAGAAGACTGGGATCAAGAAGAAGGTAAGGGTGAGATATTTGAATTGTCGGATTGGTCGGTTGTGTCCTCTTATCTACCATTTATCTTTGAGCCATACCACATTCGTTAGCCTGCCGGTCTGTCAGTGCCTCTGTCTGTTTCCTGCCCTTCTGTCTACTACGCTGTTTTTCTGTCTGTCTGTCTGTCTGCCTGTATCTACGTCTGTTTGCATGTCTGTCGGCCTGCCTGCGGGCCTCTCTCTCTCTCTCTCTCTCTCTCTCTCTCTCTCTCTCTCTCTCTCTCTCTCTCTCTCTGTGCGTGTGTGTGTGCTTGTGCTCGCTCTGTACCTGTCTCTTATACACATCTAGATGTGTATAAGAGACCTCCCTATACTCCCTACTCGCGCGTCCGTCCTATCTGCCCTGTCACCAACAATGCACCCTCTCCCACACACAGTTCAACTCCCCCACACTAATATCGCGCCCCCTCCCCCCCCTCTACGCCTCTTTTTACCTGCCACACATTCTCACATCACTACCGTCTTATCCTTAAACTAAACAACCCCACCCACCACACTCGCCTCCCTTATCAGAATCTCACCAAACAGCGCTATGGAAGCCGAACGCTCCCTGCCCGGGACTAGTGCCACTCCCGACATCGATCTCATGGATGACGAAACCCAAAAACTTCAGAGTATGATGAAGGGTTGGTACATTGACAACATATCCCAGAATGTATCTGCCTACGTAGAAACGAAAGTGAACGATGAAGAAGACTGCATTGAGGTTCGCCCCACGGAAAAACTGCAGACGGTCCAAAATGAGTTCTTGAAAAAGATGACAGTCGCTATAGTTTTCCAGGGCGAAACCAAAAACTGGTCCAATGACAAAAATGTGGACCTGATCCGTTTCCTGGAAGATTCGGTTCTCACTGAAGAGGAATCTCAGACACAGAAAGGAACCACACACATGGAGGGTAGAGGTTAGATGACATATTTAGCGAAGAACATGAAGGTTGTTGAATGGCTGTTGCAGACAAAAACGGAGATGAAATTCAAAGAGGGCAATAAATGGCGCTTCGTCTTCTTTCGCCCCGGGTTACCCAAGGCGGAATGGGAAACAAAACGGGAAGAAGATAAAAGGAAAAACTACTGGGTAATGGCCATGCGTTTCCCCATTGCCGCTTCCCTGTTCATCAGAACAACTTTGGAAACTGTAATGGGCAAAATAATTAAGGAATTTGATCCTTTTAGTGATCCTGAAGACCCGAAGTTGGGGAACCTGAAATTTCAGCTCCACCCCAATGCAGAGGAAAGCTTCAGACCGCGCCTCAAAATTTGGATTGGATCGGACTACTTAATGGCAGACCTAATTAACTCAAATACACCCTGGTGTTCCCAATGCAACAGATATGGTCACAAGCCTGACAATTGCCCCTACTGTGAATTCTGCGACAGGTACGGCCACACATCGGATGACTGCAGGTCACAAGAGGGAAACAGACAGAGATCAACCTCGGGGAACCCATACCCAGCAGGTCTCTGGTCTTCCCACTCAGCATCCCAACTGTTTCCCCCCCCAGGGGTGAGGAGAAATCAGTGGGAAGGGTTTGCCTTCAACGACAGGGAACTTCAGCAGCTCAACAACAAGAAGAAGCAACCCCACTGGAACCAGAACGCCACCAAACCACGCTACAACCCACAGCAACCACACCCCGGAGGTAACCGCCCCGGCCAACCCAATGGTATGGGCAAGCTGCCTCAGCCCACCGGGAAACTTGGTTGGCGACCGATCGGTCCCTCCAACGAGCGGTCTGCACTCTCAAATGCAGCGGGGGAGAGAGGAGCATGTTTTGCCTCTGGTTTCTCTCTCCAGCTGACCACTCCGATTGGCAGTACCTATAAGGACAGCATGAATCCACTCCCGGGAACAGACCTGAATCCATCACCTTCAGCGGCGCAGCCACAGCCCACTCAACAGGACCACATGACCAAGGGCACGAAAGATATGGACTCTGCAATTCCCTTGCAATCCTTCCAGGGCCCGACCTTGCTGGGACCAGGTACACCAGCGGCACAACAGGATACTCCGTATGTAATGCCCCCTCTCATCTTCAAACAGGCCAACCAAACCACACTTCTCTTGCTACAACAGAATGAAAGTAATGAACTGTTCCTCCCATCGGTCACCTCCACCACGTTCCCTCACCCCAATGACTTCCTTTTCTCAGCAAGGAATTTCCTGGATAAGCGTTACTTCGTGCGTCCTGTCGCTTCCATGCCCTGCTCGACAATGTACAGAAAGGGACATTCTGGAAAAGTGCACCCAGTCCTCAGCATGTGCTTGGAGGCAGCTCAAGCCCCAGGAACAGACCCGACCCAAGTGGACAAAGGTCTGTTCTGGGCGCCTGTGGCCTGGTTCAAGCAGAGTAACACCAAAGAACGTTTCTATCCGGCGCTCGGGGATGGGATCAAGGGGGACATCATTGCGGAGCTGGACGAACTGATCCCAAGGGAACAGTCAATTTTTTCCAGGTTCATCCTGGAGTCGACCAAGATCCCCTGGGACGTCCCGAATCTAATGGCCACCCCAGGGGCATCCCTGCTGCAGATCCAACCCGGGCAGCAGCTGAATGCGGCCAATGGAAGGTAGGCTATCTGTAGCCACCTGGAACATCCGCGGACTGATTGATAATAAAGGAAAATACAAATGTTCTCGCCTGAAGTCATGGATCCACTCTCAGAGAATAACAGTCACACTGCTGCAGGAGACTAAACTTTCAGAGGAAAGATTAGCCTCCATGCCAATCTGGTGGAATGGGCCACAAATATGGGCCCCTGCTCAGGGTACCAAAGGGGGCACAGGCATATTGATCCACAAAGGTCTTGCTACTCACATAACAAAATTGATCCACTGGGACACTGGTGCTGGGTCACTTTAGATATTGATAACCAGATCTGGGGAGTTATGTCAGTTTACACGCCATATGATCACAGCACCAAATCAGCCTTCCTCCGCTCACTATCTGGGGTCATTCCAAATACCAAATTTCTGATAGTGGGGGGGGACTGGAACACAGTCCCAAACCCGGATATTGACTCAACAACACCTCTGGCATATCCTGGGGAATCGGCCACTCTCAATGATCTCATGATCGACATTGGCCTCTTTGACCCATTCTGCACACTCCATCCTGAATCTCGCCAGTATACATGGGCATCCTCGAATCCTACGGAGGACGGAATCTACACCCACAGGAGACTTGATATCATATTGGTCAATGACGATGCACTTCAACTGGTCAATAAAGCGGAAACCACTACTGAACCAATGTCCGATCACATCCCCGCATGGATACGCTTGAATCTGGGGACTCAGCTTTCACAGGGAAAGGGCCTATTCAGATTGAGCCTCCACGTTCTAGAAGACCCAGGGGTGGTAGATTGGGTACGTAGTACATGGGAGGAATGGAGAGTAAATACAACAATCTTTGATAACGAAGGACAGTGGCTGGACAACGGCCTATCTCTGATATCAAACCAACTGAATCTGATCTCAAGGGTCAAAGCTGTCAACAGGAGATACAATGAAATCCAAGTAAAAAGGAAAATAGAACAAATTGAGAAGAAACCCATTGACTCCTTCTCAGCAGCGGTAGACCCATAAAAAGAGAAGCAGACTAATTCAAGAATGGCAGAATTTGCAAATTAAACACCACAACCTTTGGACAACACATCGACAAATAGAAAGAATCCTTTCCACCGACCGCCTTACCAGCAAAACGGCCTCAGCAATCAACCACTTACGCAGCTCCACCCGGATTACTAATCTGTCACACCCCACAGACCCCTCACACCCCCCAGCTAAAGACTCAGCTTCCTTATGTGAATTCGTTAGGCTGTTCTACGAACAGTTGCTAACCTCCGAAAAACCACCCAACTCCCCCGTCATCCCCCCCCACCTAGAACATGCACTTTGGGACTCAACCAACCGTCTTCTATCTGATATGGAGTCAGCCTCGCTGGAGGGTCCAATCACATTAACAGAACTTACCGCTGCTGTAGATAGCATGGTGAAAGGCAAATGCCCGGGCCCCGATGGTCTACCGGTCGAATTTTACATCAAATTCTGGCCAATCCTCGCCCCGGACCTGCTCCGCATCTTTAACCAAATCTTGGCGGACCAACCACTAGGCCCACACACGGCCGAGGGTATAATTACACTGCTGTACAAAAAAGGCGATAAAACAGATGTTCGTAACTACAGACCGATATCACTCCTCAATGTACATGGTAAGATCTTGGCCCAAACCTTGGCGCGCCGCATCAACCCACTACTAACTAAACTAGTACACCCGAACCAGTCTGGTTTTATACCGGGTAGACAAGTCTTAGGTAACGTAATGACAATCTCTCAATCCATAGACTGGATAAGGAACCATAACCTGAACAAAGCAGTAATTCTCATTGATTTCCAGAAAGCGTATGACCGCGTGAACTGGGACTTTCTCCACGCCACGTTAAGTAGACTAGGGGTGGGCCAGAACTTTCGCAAATTTGTCTGAGCCCTCTACGGTGCATCCTCAGGGAGAGTCCTGGTCAATGGCCACCCCTCGGAGGCATTTAGAGTCACCCGATCCCTTCGTCAAGGGTGCCCACTTGCACCCTCACTATTTGTGATTCAACTCGAAGTTCTGCTCAACATGGTCAGGGCACACCCAGAATACACCGGTCTACAACTTTCTCCATCCTACGTCATTAAAGTCCCTGCTCTAGCAGATGACTTCTCAGCCATTTCAGACAATACCACCGCCTCTCTTATGGCATTGGAACAGTGTCTTTCAACATACGAGTTGGCCTCTGAAATGAGAGTGAGCTGGCAAAAATCCAATGCCCTCATTCCAAACGCAGTTCCCCTGGCCTATGATCTGGGTATCCCAGTCAAGCCAGAAACAGAACCCGAAAGATACCTGGGTATCCAGGTATCCTTCGGTAACACCACGGACATTCAACAGACTATTGTCGAAAACAGGATTAGGGATGCTT